GATCAAGGAAATGGGTTTAGGGACGCCGCTCAGACCGCAGGCCACGCCACGCACAGAAAATCTTCTTGTTAAGCTGCTACTTCTGAAAGGTCCTTCAGTGCGTTGCGCAGGCTGAAAAATTATCTTCGCTCCACCATGAACCAGGCACGTTTGTCGCAGGTAGTTCTGCTACAAATTCACAAACATCTCACAAAGCAAAGAGATCTGAACAGCATCCTCAGGGACTTCTTGTCGAAGACTTCCGACAGGAAGATGTTTGGAAAAGTGTAAAGTGTGTGTACTACAATTTAAAAAAAAACAACAAAAAACTCCGCCTGGTGGGTAGGCAACCCACAACACGTGCCCCCCCAGCTTTTTGGACCTTCCTACGCGCCTGTTCGTACTGAAGGTTTAATTTGCTCTTGCATTATCAAGAAATTATTAACAATTGCAAAACTTTATCCAGGTATTATTAAACGTTTTCTTGTGTCGTAATTGTAAGACGAGGAAATCTTACAGTAATACTAAAAATTCCTTGATAATTAACGACAGCACGAAACTGCAATGTAGTAGGTACTATACACCAATTTTCTGGTCAGTAAAAAGTTTAAACTGTGCAAAGAAGCCAAAAATTAGCTGTCTCTAAAAGAAGGCCCTCAAAAAATTAGCATTCAAAATGGAATGGAAAAGTTTTGCCAAGCAAGGCAACCGCTATTCAGAGTGGCGTCGGGGAAGCGCCGGCGCATAGAAAACTATACAAGGAAACGATGGAACCCATGTGGACTAAGATGACTGAGGTACGGAACGGGCGGGGGGTGCCCTGCCGCCCACGGACTGGGCGAGGAGCGAGAGCAGGGCGAGGCGGCCGAGAGGCGTCCCCCCGGGGGCGGGGCGGCTAGACGGGCAGGTGTCTCCGACACCCCGGGGAGCAAGGACGAGTGGAGGGTAGGGTGGCAGTGTGGATAGAGATCCGCTGACCCGAACGGCACAGGGGCGGCACGGTGAGGTCATCGAGGGGGGTGGGGGGAGAGGTGCGACAGGGAGGTTCACAAACGGGAGGTGGACGACGGGGAGGTTGACGACGGGGAGGTTCACGACGTGGAGGTTCACGACGGGGGAGGTTCACGACGGGGAGGTTCACGACGGGGAGGTTCACGACGGGGAGGTTCACGACGGGGAGGTTCACGACGGGGAGGTTCACGACCGATAGGTCAGCGACGAGGAGGTTTACATCCACGGTTTATGACGGAGAAGTCCACAACGAGGTTTCGGACAGGAACACTCCAACGAGGACAGCCAAAGTCGTCGGAACCTCCGGCACTCTGCATCCCAGTCATTACCCGCTTGCTTAGGGAAATAATGAAAGGGTTTCAGCTCGAGCCGCGTCTTACCCCCGCCCCGCCCCGCCCCGCAACGCCATGCCCCGCCCCTGGGCCAGAGGCGGTCCAGCCTGATTTGTATGCCACGCCCATAAGCGGAGCTGAAACGGAACCGAATATATCCCAGCCATTTACTTGTGCGG